AAAAAAAAAGAGCCGGGCGGTGGTGGCGCACGCCTTTAATCCCAGCACTCGGGAGGCAGAGCCAGGCGGATCTCTGTGAGTTCGAGGCCAGCTTGAGCTACCAAGTGAGCTCCAGGAAAGGCGCAAAGCTACGCAGAGAAACCCTGTCTCAAAAAAACCAAAAAAAAAAAAAAAAAAAAAAAAAAAAAATTTCAGACTTACTCCCATTGTGGATTCCAGACACTAAAAGCTGTAACTTGCCAGGGTGACAGAGTTGGACCCTTCTCGTGGCTCCTAGAGTCTCACATAGAGGGTTCAAGCTGATACTTTCAGCTGCTTGCTTGTGAGAGATGTTTAAGCGCTGGCTCTGGCTCCTAGTAGCCAGGCCCAAGTCTCAGGCGAGAGGTAACCTTGCCAACAAGATAAAGCAGACCTTGAGAGTAGCAGGTGGCAAGAATGGAGACAGTTTTGTGCCCAAAACAATCATCGCTGATTCCCAATGTGATGACTTCATTTTCTGTAGACCAGTGCTATATTTAACCCCTTGGCTTTACTTATCATGTGCCAAAGTTGCTCAATTTCTTCTCAGTGAAACACACTCACACTTCCCCTTTTCTCTGGGGGAAAAGCACTGAAAATGTGCTTAAGTCTGAATCCTGGGCTTCTGTGCCAAAATTTCAAAGGTTTCTAACTGGAAACTGGATGCATTTCAAAGTTACCTCAAATCACATTTCCCAAGCTGGACTTGTCCCCAGCCCCTACCACAGCTTCCTTCCTCCTGATTTCTCTTCTTCTCTATCAGATTACATCATCCTGCCAGTCAGCTAGCCATAAAGCCTAAATCATTTCTCCCCCATCTACATAAGTTCCAAATGCTCACATTCCAGGTTTTCCCTCAGCTTGCCTATAGCTCCTTACAAAGGAATTTCTATTTATCTTTCAAGACCCATAGCAAATTACAGAGAGGATCCTATCAACTTTAGAAGCAGTCTGGACTCCCTTTTCTATTCTCTCCAGCATCTCATCTAGCTCATAGCATTCCATTACAACACAAAATACACACCGTGGTTCTCCCACCAGGCTACAGGCTCCTCAAAGGCAAGATGTAGATGTTTCCAGTTAGCTCTTCCTAGCATTTACTACAGCATCTGCCACAAAAGGGCTCCAGTGAATCTGAATGAATGACTTCATCCACAAAGTATCCTGTTCACTGCGTATTAGAAACTTCAGCACACTGGACAGCCCTGTCCATTGTACTTTCGTTCCCAAGGGAATCAATCGCCCAGGCCCAATGAAACTATTTCTAGAGCCCAAGGAAGTTTGGCTAATATGCTTTCCTGTTCCCACCACTGCCCTCCAGGGTCAACCTTGAACATCTATGAACTTTAGCTTGCTGCCTTTAGTGTTATTAGAGGCCAGCAATTATTTTTCTTTTCTTTTTTAAAGATTTATTTATTATGTACACAGTGTTCTGCCTGCATGCCTGCAGGCCAGAAGAGAGAACCAGATGTCACCAGATCTCACTGTGAGCCACCATGTGGTTGCTGGGAATTGAACTCAGGACCTCTGGAAGAGCAGCCAGTGCTCTGAACTGCTGAGCCATCTCTCCAGCCTGCGATTATTTTTCTGTAAAGGGCTGGATAGTAAATATTTTACACTTTGTTGCTTCATCTTCTCGGTTTAGCCTTTGTTAAGAGGAGTGCAGCCACAGATTGTATGTAAATGAATGACATATGACATATGCCAACCAAACTTTAATTATGGAAGCCACAGTTAGAATTTCACATATGTTTCATGTCTCACAAAATGTTCATCCCCTCTTGATTCCCCATCTCCAAACACTTAAAGCTGCAAGAAAGCACTCTCAGCTTACAGTCTCTATAACAACGGGTGGCAAACCCTAGTTTGCCAACAGCTAGTCTACTGTTAAAAAAAAAAAAAAAGCAATATTCAGAATTCCATTACTGACTTTGTATTACCCAGCCATATGGAGTCACTCTAGGGCTGAGGAAGTAGAAAGCATATGGGCTTTCAAACATTAGAGTCTAGATTCAGCTTCCGGCCCTGACTTCTACTAGCAAGGCAGAACTAGACATACTCCTTAACTCCTTTTCACCGTCACCACCTACAAAACAGGGGCAATAACATACGTTGTGAGGATTAGAGTGTGCATATCAAACTAAAATGCCTGGCATTTAAGAGGCACTCCATAACTCCCATTATTACACCTTGTGAGACAGCCTCCCCATGTCAACCATAGCTCTGGAAAACAGCCTAGACACTGGATACTACATCTGGACAGCAAGAGAGACTATGTGTCAGCAAAGGCCAAAAGCAGAGAGGAGTTTCTAAGGGCCCAGTTAGCCTGACTGTTCTGCCACCATATTTGGGCCACTTTCCCTTTTCACCAAGAATTTGAGACTCACAGAATACAAAGGATCCAACATTTGACTTCCAAGACAGAGAGCATATGGAGGACACAGAAAAGGGTAAGGTTTATGGCATTTCCACTCCTAACCCCCAAAGCCAGACCTGAGCTTGCCATGTCTTTGCTGGATGTCTAATAGGTGCTGCTGCCTCTGCTGGGGTGACTTGGCCTCCCTTGCACTGCCCAGATCAGCTTTCCTACACTATGCTTCCATTCTTTTCCATGAGACTTTACCTGCAGTCCAGCCAAAGGGCTGCTTCTACCTGATTGCCCTAAATCATTTCCAATTTCCCACGACTGTGTACAACTCACCAGGATATCTGTGATGTTTTATCACAGTCTTCCCTTAGCCTGAGTCAGAGATAGAGTGGACTAACCTGAGTCAGCTCTGGGTCCCTCTACCTAGCACAGGGCTGTTGCTTAATGACTCAATGAGAGTTCGGAGCATTCTCCCCTTAAACTGTTCTAACTGGACTCTTATTAGCAGACTGAGCACAGTCTGGGTCACCACTAGGAAGAGGGAAAACCTCCGAGAAAGAAAAGAAGCATAACCAATGTGATCCAAGCGATGGAAAATAGGTTTTGCGGATGAGGTGAAAGCAGCCAGGCGGTGTAGCCCGGCGAAGCGAAGATGAGCCCTAACTGGATTCTGGCTTTAAGTACAGAAAAGGTTCTCATGAGAAAATCTTGATCTCATCCGCCCTTTATAATCAGAAAGAACTTTTCCATATTCATGGAAAACAGAACAATAAGAGCTGGCTTAAGCTAAGGAGGGGTTTAAGCTGGGAGGAGCTAAATTAGACACCACTTTCTGGAGACACCATACTGTTGTTCTTTTCGGCAAGTGAACTGAAGGGGCCTTGCCAGGTGCTTTTGCTGAAGGCTGTGCAAAAGGAAGTGAACACCTGCTCTGGTCCCGTTTACTGTGGACAGAAGTGTGGGAAACATGAGTCAGGTGAGATTTCCTATCAAGCCACTGGCTTTTTTGTTGACTTTTTCCCACCAAGTACTTTAAGTGGTGTCATGCTTTGGAACCCTGTGATAGAATCACCTAGCATTTCTACGTCTCTTGATGGGGCAATGAAAAGAGAAAACAGCAAAGTCAGAGTAAGAGAGAGTAGGGAGAATAGCCCTAATAAACACACTGCCTGTGAAATGAGTGCCAGACTGGGTATTAATGCAATTACTAATATTGTTACTGATACTACTATTATTCACTGAACATCTATGACCTGCTGGTCACTGAGCTACTTAATGTCATTTTAGTTCTTACAGCAGCCCCACGAGGTAGGGAATATCTGTACCTCATTTCCCAGAAGAAGAAATCTGAAACTAGGCAGAGTTAAATAACTTGTCCAAGTCACACAGCTAGCCAGTGACAGAGGCAGGACTCAAGCCCAGACAGTCTGATTTAAAGTTTATACCCGACTTACTGCTTCCCCACAGGAACGAGAGGCTGGAGTTTAAACCCTTCTTTCTGAGTTCAGGTTCATCCTCTCTGCTTTATATTTAGACAGTCTCAGACAGGGAGAGAAAAGCAACACATGGCATTAGCAAGAGAGAAGACCTGTCAAGTGAGTCCAGACCCTTTATCCTGGGGGAAGAAGGCTGAAAAATACAATGGGGGATGAGTAATACCTGGACCGAAGGCCAGATTCCTGGCTCCAGCTCTTTCCATTACAGATTCTTGTTGAATTTGATGGTGAAAAAAATGAAGCATTATGAGGCTGTCCATTTTACTTCAGGATCTGTACTTGAAATCCAAGGGTGCCACAGCCTCTGTGAACTCATTCTAAGATCATAGGGGCTAAGGACAGAGATGCATTGATTGACAGCACTGTGACAGAAGCCATAGGCTCACAAAGCCTGCATAAGCAGACTCAGACCAGGATCTCAGGTACTTTACAGCTGAACCCTCCTCACTTATGTCCCTGTTCTGGAAGCTTCTTTGTTCCAGTTAGCCTCTGTCCCACAGCCACAATCAACAAAGGCCTCATCATGGCATCTAGAGCCCTACAGCATAAGGGAAAGAAGAGGAGGCTTTGAACTCAACCCTCTTAGGTCAGTCTGAACCCTCCTAGGGTCGGTCTGAACCCTCCTAGGTCGGTCTGAACCCTCCTAGGTCGGTCTGAACCCTCCTAGGTCAGTCTGAACCCTCCTAGGTCGGTCTGACCCCTCCTAGGGTTGGTCTGACCCCTCCTAGGGTTGGTCTGACCCCTCCTAGGGTTGGTCTGACCCCTCCTAGGCGGTCTGAACCATGCTGTCCACTTACTAGCTTTACCCGACCTTGGTGAAGCTACTTTAATCTTTCTGAGGTCTGGTTTCCTAGTCTCTAAACTGGGGATAAATGTCCCTCTCTTACAGAGGTTGTGAGGATTAAGTAAATTATAGCGTGTAAACTATGTGGCTCCTTGCAGGCCACAAAGCAGACACTTGATGAACGTTAGCCTTCTTTCCTCCCCACATCGGCAAACCCCTTCTCCTCCTCAGTGTGCCTGGGCCTCGTGTGTGTGCCCCCTTCCAGGCATTTCTGCCTCCCGACAGGGCTCCAGCTGCCCTTCCTCCCAGGAATGAACTCCCTCCATGTTCCGGCTTAACTTCTCTCCCTTCAGGAATCTGGTCATGTAGGGATTGATTTTTTCCTCCTCCCAAACTCCCACTTGGCTTACATCCCTTACTTCATTTGCCCAGGTCAGTCTGGTTTCAGTTATTTATGCACTGACCCATCTTCTTAACTACACATGAGGGAGAAGGCTTCGAAGAGACACTTACTTACAGGAGAGAAAAAAAAAAACAAAAACCAAACCATGTTGCTACCCTTGGTGCGTGTATTTCTCAATACTAGATGCTCGTTCACAGCATAGCCTCGTATGTGTTGCTGAATCAAATCTTTCCATGTCACACTGGGAATCTTTATTGAAAGATCCAGGATTGATTTTTCCCTAAAACTATGCATTTTACTGCCCGACAATAAACAGACAATTTTTGTGCTCCTGGGGATCAAAGTTGGAGCCTGGTGAACGCTAGGCCACGGATCTACCATTGAGCTACAGTACCAGCCCAACAGGCAATTTTGTAAGTATATTCATAGTCTCAAACTAAGATCCACCAGTACTCATGTGGACTCGCTTCATTCCTTTGTCCAGCCTTCTGGCACATTATGGGCTCCTCTTGGGACATCTCTTCAGTGTTCAGGGAGACGCTGCTGGGAGGATGGCTTTCACTCCCAGAGGAAGAGGGCTCCAGGATCTGCTCTCCAGAGAACTGCTCACTTCATTGGGTAGGTGACTGCCACTACAACCATACTAAAACCCAGAACTATAGGATTAGAAAACAATGGGAATGATTCCTATCTGGTTTCTGAGTCTATAAAATAGTTTAATATACTTAAAACCTATAGTTCAGTCTATAGTAAGTACTTGGTAAATGTTAGCTTTATCAATCATGTAGAGCTACTTGGGAGGCCTTATAGGCAGGGTAATCACTTGAGCTTAATAATCAGAGGCCAGTCTGGGCATCACAGAGAGATTCCAATCTCAAAGAATTAAAATTAATTAATTAAAGGTTTTTTTCTTTTTTTATTTAGTAGAGAGTCAGAAAGATGGCTCAGTAGTTAAGGGCAAGTGCCACTCTTGCAAAGGACCCAAGTTCAGTCCCCAACATCTATTTTAGTTGCTCAAAATAACCTGTAACACCGGCTCCAGAGACTCTGTCACCCTCTTCCGGTCTCTCTGGGCACCTGCACTTATGTGCACATGTACATACCACAAATAAGGTCAGAGGTAGTGATGGTAATTTTAATCTCAGCATGTGGGAAGCAGAGGTAGGTGGCTCTCTCTGAGTGTAATGCCAGCTTGTGTACATACTGAGTTCCAGGCCAGTCAGAGATACATACTGACATAGTGTCTCAAATTAATTAATTAGTTCACTAGAGTAGAATTGGAAAAAACAATTGTCTGGACATTTCACTTCCAGAACTCTCTATCCTTGACTGAGTCCTTGTGTAATCTTGGTCCAGTTTCCCCCTGTCTATATGATGAAGGTAGTGGAACCAGATGGTTCCTTTGTTCCTTCTGCCTTCAACACACACACACACACACACACACACACACACACACACACACACACACACGATCAATAAAGGACTTTTTGTTCCATATGCTGGGGCTGTTGGCAAGGAAAAATGTGAATTTGTAGCTGCTGGTCCCACATGGAAGGGACTACTGTTTACCAAGGCCAAGGGCAGAACAATTGATTAGTCAGCCACCTGTAGCTTTCCCTACATGAGCTATATCACAGACACAGGTCCCTGGACATGGCACAACTTCTTTCGTAACTAAACTCAACAATAGCAAGACCAGGGACTGAAATCAATAATAGCAATGAAGAATCTTGATTCATGAATAGTTCCTGCACCTTTGTGCCTCTGATGCCTGTAAGTAGGGCACCATCCATCTAAACCAGGGCCCTCCTTAGTCATGAAGGAAGATGCAAAGTCTCCTTCTAAACCTGACAGCTTGTAAAACAAGGACCAAAGCGAGTAAATAAAAAAAGTTACTGACTCATTTAACCACAAGCATTACAGAGACCTACTATGTGCCAGTCCAGTGCCATGAAGAGGAGGTATGACACAGACACGACTCCTTGCTACCAACAACTGTAGTCAGGGTACATATGAGTAATGTACCCCAAGAGTTCTTTGCTAAGAACTCTATGGGAAGTTCGGTCTCTGCTACAGGAGGCTGGAATGGGAGTGTCCAATCCAGCAGGAGGATGAGAAGCTTCACCCAGGAGGTCATAAGATGTGGTGTGATCACCCACAAAGCTACAAAAAAAGGAGGTCATAAGAGCACCCATGAAGCTACAACAGGTGCCATATTACTGGATTACTATAGACCACATAATAGGAAACCATGCTCTTCCTAGCTAGGCATGTGCTGCAATTTGCCAGCTTGTTCTCAGACCTTCTCTCCCCACGGTCTGGCTGCCTGTTGCCAGGCCCTCTGAGCCAAATCTGCTAACGCACTACAGCAATGACAACTCCTACACAAGCCAAAGCCCAGCTACTAACCCCCGATTATAAAAAAAGAAACTTTGAGCTGTGAGTAGATTTGGGGAAGGGGTCCCAAGGTTCCCAACTAGCTCACATCGATACAGAATACCTCACCCTGTGTCTATTCTTCCTATCACTCCAAGCCCAGGGCCCTTTAGAAGGCTTGAAGCTAAGGACAGTGGGTTAAAGCTCTTTGGCTTGGCTGGCCCAGGGAGACACTCACTATATGTCAACTACTCAGCTGGTGCTTGGCACATGGCCTGCGGTCAACAAGTTTTAGCTCCCTCCTCATACTGCAAGGTCAATTCCAGTGTGTAAATCCCACAGAGGCTCCAAGGCTCCGGTTACATCAGCTTTTCCCCTAGGGCCTCCCTGAAATATGCCAGACCAAAATACTCTCTTTCCTAGAAATCACAACAGTTATGTATCAGTACCCATTGCATGTAGGCAATTTACATGTAATCATACTTAACCCTCAAAATGACATTATTATGTCCATTTTAACAGAGAAAAGGCTCTGAGAGAGAAAATGAGCTGTCCTAGGATATACAGATAGGAGATGGGAAAGCATGGCTGACCCAAAAGTCAAGCACTCCCACGCTCATCCCTCGCTTCTGATCGTCCACAGTCCTACAGCTATAGAAGAGAGCCTGCATCCTACCCACAGTTCTACATCTCTCCGCTGGACAAATGTGGCAGGCGTTTTAAAAATTGTATTGCAAAATAACTGGAAATAGTTAATTTACCACAACTAAGTACACACATTTGATAACGTACTCATGCCAGCGGACTGTATGAGCCTTGAGCCCTCCTACAGCCTCGAGCAGATCCTTGTTTGGGCTGACGCTCAAATCCCATACAGGCTGAGCTCCGACCGCCGGTACCCACCGGGTCCCGACCTGTCACAGTCCAAGCCCATCCCCAGACACAGGCTGAGAGCCTCGAATGGGGTTTTACACGCTGCAGTCTCGGCAGGGAAGCAGCTCAGAGGACCGTCCTAAAAGGATGTCCCCTTCGGCTGTCCCTCCGCAGAGGAATCGGGTCGTGACCTCGAACTGCTCAGAAGGCCCTGACTGCCCCTCCCGGGTGCACCGCCGCACTCCAGACCCCGGCCCCGTTCCGCCCGGAGGGACTCCTCGCTGACTCACTTTTACCTTAGCTGACCACCGCCGGAGCGGCCGCGCGCACCCCCACCTGCAGGTCTCTGCCGAGAACGCGGAAGAGGCGGAGCTAGACCCGAGGGGGGCGGGTCCGGGCAGAAAGGGGAGGGAGGGGGCGGAGTCACGCCTGCGCCCCGAGGGCCACACGTGGCTAGAGTCGCGAGCCGAATACAGTGCGCAGGCGCGGCGTGTCCCAGCCATGGTAGGTCGCCGGCGTGTGTTATTGTTTTCAAAGCTGAGAGTGGAAGATTCGCAGGTGCAAATAGTTACTTCTGCGAGCCAGGACGGAGGCTTTTCTAAACTGAGGGCAGCTCTGTTAAAATTTCTTCCTTTTAAAGTTTAATTTTGAGACAAGGCCTTGCTATATACTCCAGGCTGGCCTCGAACTCTTTTTTTTTTTTTCTTGACTCAGTCTTCAGAGTTCTGTGATTACAGACGCGCACACCACCAGACACAACTATAAAATTTCTGTAAAGGTATGTGTATACGGAATTTCATGAGCGTATGAGTAAAACATTACTTCCAGTAATTGAAACCTTTTCTTGTTTTGTTATGTTTTTGTTTTCGAGCCGGTCTCACTATGTAGCCTTGGCTGTCCTAAAACTCACTGGTGTAGACCTTACTGGCTTTGAACTCACAGAGATCCACCTGCCTCTGCCTCCCGAGTGCTGGGATTAAAGACGCGTACCACTACACCAGCTAAAACAAACTTTCTTATTCTACTCTATGCGTGTGTGTACACTAATTAAATTAATTCCTCAACCAGGTGTATGTGTGTACACTAATTAGATTAATACCACAACCAGCTGTGTGTGTATACACTAATTAGATTAATCCCTCAGTCAGCCTCCCTGCCTCCCTGCCACAGGCTTCAGGCACCTGAGAAGGGAGGACTGCTGTTTGGCTTTAGTTCAGGTTCTGATGCAGTTTTTGTTTGTCTGGGGGAAGTAAACACCCCCATCCCATTCAGTATTGTTGTGAGCAAGGTACTTAAAAGAGCTTCTCAGCCTTCCCATCAGTTCCCTCCTCTCTTCTGGTCTGTGTGTTCAACTCCTTGATGGAAGGAAGTGGGAGTATTCAAGACGTTGCTAGATTTCCAATCTAGATGAAGATGGGAGAGTCTTTCCCCTAAGCTTTTTTATTTCCTCCCTTCCAGAATTTGAGTCCTACCCAAAGGATGTACACCCCAACCTCCTCCAACTTGCAACCTTCCAGGCCTACCAAGCTTCATGTCTTCACAGGCCTTTCTAGCCTATTCCCCTATGCTCAGTAGCCAACTAGTCCTGAGTTGCTCAGACATAGATTGTCATCCAGATTCCCAAAGTTAACTACTCTCCCATGCACATGGCAACCAAGGTTAATTAACATTGGATAAAGGCTGGGGGGGGGGGTGATTCCAGGAAGGAGGGCAAACCATGTGGAACCCAGACCTTCTTTTGGCCTATGCCACTGCATTCCACAGCTCCATACAGTGGCAGCAGGGAACATAGAAGGGGCTGTGGTGTTCATGAAAGTCACAGGTTATGGAGCATTGTTTACTCAATGGGGGATGTTCTGCCCCAGGGTGGTAAGCTGCTTTTGCCATGTTTTGCCCGTTTGGGTGAGAGAGAGCATCTTTTCTGTCATTACTGAGGTTGAAGCTCTTCTTTATCTTCTAAGCATCCCTCGCAATCTCAAAGTACGTAGTGTGTGCGCACGCGTGCGTATATGTGCTTCTAATGTATTTCTAAACACCTCAGTTTTTGAGATGAATCTAACTCTTACTTCCGCAATGTTCATGGACCTGCTGGCAGTTGGACTGTCTGATTGAAGAGATAGTGGATTGTAATAGGTTTGAAAACACCACTCTTTTAGAATGCTGGACCTTGGGCATTAGAAGGAGCAGCAACATGGAGAACCTTACAGATTCTACAGCAGTAAAAGAGGGGAGAGATGGGGGGGGGAGGGGGCTGGGAAGAAGGCCAGACAGCTAGCTAAAGAGAGACTTGGTTGTAAGTCAAGCACTTGAGGCTGTACCAGAGACATAGTAAGTATTAGCTAAGTTATTATCATCTACCTTCACGGTCTGAGAATGAAGGAGCTTAGAGATCATTCAGATCTTCACTCCCACTTTTTTTTTTTAATTTATTTATACCAGGTGTGGTGGTCAATACCTTAATCGCAGCACCCAGGAGACAGAGAAAGGTGGATCCCTGTGAGTTTGAGGCCAGGCTAGTCTACAGAGTGAGTTCCAGTTTAGCCAGCACGACATAATGAGACCTTGTCTCAAAACAACAACAATAAATATTACTGTGTGTGTGATGTATGTGTGGTTATGCATGCCACAGTGGCGTCCCTCCTTTCACCTTTACATGGGTCCTGAGAATTGAACTCAGGTCATTAAGTGTGCATTGTTGGGCAGCAAGTGCCTTCGTCCACTCAGCCATCTTGTTAGCTCACCACTTCTGACCATAAAATAGATAAGAAGTGGTTTAGAGAGGGAAGGTACTTGCCATGAGACCTTCCTACTTTGAGTCCTGAGAGAGGCTTCCTCTCCTGTAATTGGGGTTGTGGATGAATTTCCCACTGCACTTTCAGCCATTGGCCTCGAACCTCCCAGATATGAATGGAGATAGCCAGTGCCTTAACAAGGAGATTTCCCCCATCAGACTGAGTCCCCTAAAGGCAAGGGCCTGCCTTGCCTTCTCCTCCCCTCCTCAAGGCTCCTAACTTAGATTATCTAGAATTAGGAGCCCTGAGAGAACTTGGGTGTTCTCACACTGGAGAGCTAGGTCAGTCATGACTATGCCCATATGGTCAGGAGCTGAGGGAAGAATGTCTTTTTAATCCCATTCTGGCCGTTTCTCCTACAATCTGCCAAGACCCAGGTGGCACCCAGACCACAGCTTCCCACCAGCGGTTGCTTTGTGTCTTTATTTTACCAAAAATAGCAAAATCTTCCCTTTTTCACAAAAATATATTTCCCTCCCCCCATCATCCCTTTTCACAGCCTAGATTTCAAAGTATATTCTGCAGCCCAGCGTGGGGGAAATTTCCCACTTTCCCCAGTTCTGAACCACTGCCAAAGCTGCAGGATAGCATGCTTCCTTTGGGGACTTTTCTGGAGCCAGCAGAGATAGAAGTTCCAGGTCCTGCTGGTCTGGAGAGCCCCAGCTGTTTCTCTGGAGGGCAGGCAGTTCTTAGGCCATGAGGACGGACCTGGTTTTGGAGGTTTGTCTCAGCAGTCAACTCGAGCCAACCCAGGCGTAGTGGGGCTCTCTGGCATCAGGCTAGAAATCCTTGCTCAAAACAAGAACAGTTGTATCCTGGAGAGCATCTCAGTGTCACAATCAGCAGGCCCTAGAGTAGAAGTCAAGAGCCTTGGCTTTTATACCAGCTTTATAAAAGCCTCCGGGTTTCAGTTTCCTCCTTTGCACACTGAGAGACAGACAGGATTCTTATGTGATTTCTTGTTCTCCAACCTGGCCTCTCAGGATAAAGGCTCTGGAAAGGCAGAAGCCTGTTTCTGCCATGGTTTCCCTACCTGTGAGTTTGTGCACAGGGCTCAGCATGGTGGTGCTGAGTAACAGCTACTGAAAGAGCATCCCAGCCTCTTTGAGTAGCTGTGCTTGGAGATCCAAGTAGCTGGGATGTCTCAGGATGGTTGGGTGGAGGCAGGTATTTTTAGGATGGGAACGTCTCCACTAGCTACATGATCCTCAGTGTCCTGAGATAGAAGAAAAGACTCCAGATTTCCCAGTTCAAGTTCCAGTGGCTCTCTGGTCTAGAGGCCTATTTTGTGCTGGCCTTCACTCAGGTCAGTAGATTCTGGGTATGAGACTGAAGTATCTTGAGTTCCAGTTCAAGATCCAGGGGATCTTTGTGGACATGAGGGATCAATCTCAACCCTCAAGAGGCTTACTGGGTTTTTTGTTTGTTTGTTTTTTTGAGACAGGGTTTTTCTGTGTAGCCCTGGAACTCACTCTGTAGACTAGGCTGGCCTCGAACTCAGAGATCCTCCTGCCTCTGCCTCATGAGTACTGGAATTAAAGGTGTGTGCCACCACCGCCTAGCTTAGAGGCTTACTGTTACCAGGCCCTCCAGGAAGCAGATGAGTGAAATATTTGTGGACATCCATGGCTGAGCAAATCAGCCTACATGGTGGTAGGCCAGGGGTTTAAGGAACTCAGGGCAAAGCTGCACTTTCTAACCTCCCCTCAACTGCCTGGGACTCATGTTGATAGAAAATGGTGGTCTAGAAGATTCAGAGGTACAAGTCCATCTACATGCACATTTTGTACACTTGTACATGTGGTCAGAGTTGAATTGGGTCACTATGCTGGCATTACTCCTATAGGGGTCATGGACTTATGGTCAGCCTGTCCATCCATCCATCCATCCATCCATCCATCCATCCATTCACCTATTCATCCATCCATCCATCCATCCATCCATCCATCCATCCATCCATCCATCCATCCATCCATCCAACCAACCAACAGGAGGGCCTACTATGTGCCAGGAAGGACCTGGATCTCTCAGACAAATCCCACAATCAAAACACCCACACTCACCACCCCCACACCTACCTGCTTGCTCAGATATAGCCACTCACTCTCATAATTTTCTTGCCATCACTTCAGCCACATCCATATTCCCAAAATGGATTTGAGACCCACCATGGGAGGATGAAGGGGTGAAGTATCAGAGCAGAAACTTGGTAGCCTGCCCTAGTCTTGGACTTAACGTGAGGGGCTGACTTCCTCCTTTCCCTCTGTTGCCCACTTGAAGTCCTCCCTTCTCCATGCAATCGGGGACACACAGGCAGACTTCGGAGAAGTCCAGAGCTGTCTGGTCTCTAGAGGGGTCCTATAGGCCTTCAGATTGCTCTCCCAACAGGCTCCTAAGGGTCCCCTCTCCCAGCTACACTGTGTTCGATGGTCCAGTTGATCGGCAACAACATCCAGATCTGGACTCAGTGACAGATCCGTTCTGTCATCTCCCTCTGTAGAGACACAAAGTTAGGAAGGGTTAGTTTGAGCTCAGCCTGCTGGGCAATCCTTGCCTAATCCTGGGGTTTATGAGCCTAACTCTTCCCCCACTGCAGCTGAAAACCATGGCAGCAGATCTGGGTTTGTAAACTGACACCTCCATGAATTCTCTATGAGAGTACAGAACCCACTGTTAAATGAGTTGTCTCCCCTTATTTATCCACCTGGGTATGGGAGTTTGTAGTATAATAATAATAATAATAATAATAATAATAATAATAATAATAATAATAATAATAATGTTATAATATAAATATGTTATTATTATTATTATTATTATTATTTTTATTATTATTATTCAGAGCTGAGGACCAAACCCAGGGCCTTGCACTTGCTAGGCCACTGAGAATAAATTTACCACTGAGCTAAATCCCCAACCCTGTAGAATATTATTTTAAGGTGTGTTACTTTTGTTTGTGTTGCATTTGTTTAACTCTGTGAAGCTGTGATACTTTGCCTGTCTAAAACACCTGATGGTCTAATAAAGAACTGAATGGCCAATAGCAAAGCAGGAGAAAAGATAGGCCAATAGCAAGGCAGGCAGAGAGAATATATAGAAAGAGAAATCTGGGAGAAGATCTAGGAGCCAGAGAAGGAGAAGGAAGCCAGGGGCCAGCCACCCAGCTATACAGCAAGCCATGGAGTAAGAAACAAAGAAAGGTATACAGGTATAGAAAAGGAAAAGCCCAGGGGCAAAAGATAGATGGGATAATTTAAGTTAAGAAAAACTAGCAAGAAACTAAGCCAAGCTAAGGCCAGGCATTTATAATTAAGTATAAGCCTCAGTGCGTGATTTATTTGGGAGCTGGGTGGAGGGCCCCCCCGAAAGAGCAAAACCAAACAACAACAGGAGTTTCATACGGATCCTTTGGATCTGAACTTCCAGGGAAGAGCCTTGGCCTTACCAGTGGTTCTAGTTCCCTCTGGTCCACCAGGCTGAACTCTTGGATGAAGTAGTAAAAGTGTTTATAGCAGGTGTTGACATGTGCCTCTGCCCCCATGCTGAGGATGCTATCAAAGTGGTGGATGTAGACATGGACAAAGACGCGGAACAGTCGGGTCAGGATCTTGGTGCAGACCTGCTGGAAGTTCTTGGGGAAGGGAACTCCTGGGGGTGGAGAGGGGTAGAAGGGGGGGTGTCAAAATCCTAGGGACAAAACTCCGCCCTCTCCACAGGCACTCTTCACCTCTCAGCACAGGACCCATAGAGGAAGGCAGGGCAAGAGCTTGGTCTTCTCCTGTACTTTTCTTTTTTGGGTGGTTGGTAGTGCTGGGATCGAACCCAGGAATTCATTCACATCATTGAGCTCCAGCACCAGTCCCCATCTTTCCTTTTTAATGAAGCCCCAATCTGAAAGTGCCTCCCCTGTGCTGTAACACAGATCACTCCCACATTTCCCACTGCCTGAAGCAGGGCTTTTCAAGCTTGTCACTGGCCAGTCTGCCTCAGACCACAATGAAAATTGTGGTCTAACCATTCCCCAGAAACCTGTGCACCTGCAGAGACATGCACATCACTTTCTCCTACACAGGCCAATGCAGAGGTTGTGGGCCAGTTTTTAAGAACATGGGCCTTCAGAGTTAAGTTATATATCCCCACATGGCATGGATCAAAGCCTTTATGAGCCAATCCAGATTGCCCACTCCAGCCACACCCCCAGTTCCTCTGCTTACTATTCTCACCGCTGGCTCATACCCCACCTCCCATGCTAACACTTCAAGAACTACTTCCGGCTGGGAGGTAGTGGCGCACGCCTTTAATCCCAGCACTCGGGAGGCAGAGGCAGGCGGATCTCTGTGAAGCCAACCTGGGCTACCAGGTGAGTTCCAGGAAAGGCGCAAAGCTATAAAGAGAAACCCTGTCTTGAAAAAAAAAAAAAAAAAAAAAAAAGAACTACTTCCGATATCACTCATTCCTTCAGATATCCCATAACCTAAAGAACTTTCCCTCTGTGAGCCCAGCCCTGAGCTGGGCCCTTTGTACCTCTGTCCTCTGCTCTTTACCACTGTGCTGATGGGTCTGATAGTCATTCTAGATATGATAAAATGCAGGTGATGTGTAAAGGGGAAGTCATTTGCCTGAGGACACGCAATTATTAATTAGTACAGGCTGGAAGCAGGATATAAACCCTCTTTGCACAGCAGTGCCTCTCAGAGATAAATGATACAGATCCTGCCTGGCCAGGAAAGGCAGAGATCCTGGGGGCTTACACCCTCTTTTCTGCTATGACAAAACCATCCAGTCATCCAGAGAAAAGTTTACTCAGGGCTCTCAAACCCAGGGATGTAGGCTAGAGGAGAATAAAAGCAGGAACAGACTGAGCCCTAGTCCATACACCTCCACAGACCCCCTTCCTTCTCACTGCTCTTTGGAGCTTGTGCTCTGCCTCTCTGAGAGCCCGGCCTAGTCCCCACAACTCCCATCCGACCTATCTAGACTATGGCATCCGGGCCCCACGATACCCGAGTTCCAGTTCTGATCCCTTTTCTAGTCAATGTGCTTTCCCACTGTTGGCCTCGGTTTCCTTCTGTGTAAAATGATGGGACCTGTTGTTCACAACAGTGCAGGAAATAGCAGCAACAGTTGGGGAGGAGCCATGGGCTTGAATCGTGACTCAGTGCCCAGCTTTCCTCAGCATTCAGACTCCTTCCCTCTGGGCTTGACCATCTGCCCCACCCATTTGAATCCCCAAAGCCCAGATGGGTGCTGGGAGCCAGGCTGCAGGTGGGGCTGCTGTGATGAACACAGTGTCTCCTGGGTGGGGAACCCGGGCCAGGGTGACATCATTCATCTCCTCTCCCCGCCCAGGCCCAGCTGAGATAAGAAAAGGCCCCATGGCCTGGACCTGACTATAGAGTACCAGCCTGAGGGAAAGGTACCTTTTGGGCCGATCCAGCTTCCAATCCTTCCCTTTCTGGGGCCAGGGTTCAGAGGGGATTCTCAGGAGGCTGGAAGCCAGATCAGCCCACGCACAACAGTAGTTATTTGTTCTGGAAAGTGGAGAAACAGTGTTGGTGGTCTTGTTGGGAGAGTTCTTAGTGGGGCCCGTGCACACACTGCCTTTCCTGGCCAGGCAGGATCTGTATCATTTATCTCTGAGAGGTACTACTATGCAAAGACGGTTTGAATCCTGCCTCCATGAGGAGGACACGAGGAGCCCCCAAATGGGAGTCAGGTTGTCCTTGGTAAATGTTTGATTGTAACCAAGATCCTGCCACAGTCAGTTTCCTCTTCTACAATATGGGAATGACCCTCCTTGGCTAGGCTAACTCTCCACCCAGACAGTACTCACCAACACGTGTAGGAAAGACATCCTCATCATTGATGAGACCCTCGATCCAGTCCATGAGCAATGCCATATAGCGGGGTGCCGAGAGCTTGGCGGGCCTTCGGTACTGGCGCTCATCCTGCCAGCGGTACTCATAGCGAGGCCCACCAGCCATGACTGGGCAGCTGGTCTCACTGCAGTGCTCAGCCATGGTGCCATAGATGAGGTTGATGCGGTTGAAGAAGTCCACCACATGCACAGCGATCCAGTCATCGATGCTCTCACCAGGTGGCAGCCTCACCACACTTCGAAGATCCAGGCCGGATTTGAGTGAGGCTTGTGCCTTCTTATAAAGCTCAAAGCGCTGTGTGCCAGGTTCAAAGCGCTTCCGGGGCCGGAAAGTCTTGTCTTTAGCAAACACCTGCTTCAGGCACAGTGCCATGGCCAAGCTTAGTAGAGCTGGATGTCTTCGCCCAGGGACCTGAAGATGCCCTGCTAGGGATAAGGGCAGAAGTAGGTGGTCAGGGTCTTATAAAATGGGCTTTGACTTCCCCATACATCATTTTCTGATTAACTGTCAGCCTTGGGGCAATTTCTTTACCTCATTGAAACACTCATCCCCTACCAGTGTCTAATCTTTTGTGGACTACTTCAGCCCCGCCTGCCCCTGTGCCACTTAGCACTCCCACATGCCTTTTATTTTGTTTAGTTTCCTCCCTGCTTTCTTTGAATCTTGCAGGTGTAGCCTGGGCTACAAACAAGTACTTACTGGACTTACTGATGACCATTATAGAAGTGACAGAGGATTTTGCAGGCCCAGCAGGGAACAGGGACCCCAGATAAGATGTTCTCTGGAAGCCCCCTAGGCCAGCTGTATAGTGTGAGAGAGCCTGGCTGCATTGTGCTGGGGTCGGGGTGGGGTGTGTGTTTGTGGGGGGGCTGGACTTTGATTTCCTCTGGGATATCCCGAAGTCCATCCGGCCACCGGGGATTCCCAGGGAGCAGAAGGGACTTTTCTACCAAAAATGTCCTTTCCTTTTTCTCTACACTGAAAGAGGAAAGGGCCCTCACAGGGCCAGCTGGGTGGCCTTAAGTGTGGCTGCAGGCGCTGCAGGAAGGGGAGGGTGGCAGGGCTAAAAGAGTGCTACTTCCTCCAACAAGTGCTAGCACTCCCTCCCTCCAAGCCAGCCTCCTTCAGTCCCAAACCTGAACAAGCCTCTGGCTTTCCCCTTGCACCTGACACTCCATAGAACACCAAAATGCCTACTATGTACCTGGTGCTGGGGGCAGAGGGTGAACAGCCAGACCCATCCTGCTGGTCATTCTGGATGTCTGCTTTGCCTTTTAGAATGGAAGGATCCCAGACACAGAACAGATTTCAGGGGGCATCCATCAGAGCCCCCAAGTCCTGGGATCCAGCCCCTGCTTCAAAACTGGCTTGCTTACATCACCACGGATTTAGTCCATGTAACTCCTTGAACATCCTGATATAGTCAGGTTTCTGAGCATCTCAGGCATTTCATCCCCCCACCAATGTATATAAGCTATTGGGGAAATGCAGATCCAGGCAACTGCCAAGACTGAAACAGCCACAAACTGAGCACAGACCCTGACCACTAGGCTGTATAAGCTAAGCAGTGAGCTCGGGCTCCATGCTGACTCTAACTTGTCCTCAGGTCAGGTTAGTCTGAGCCCTGAGCCTAGCTCCACACTGAATGAGGCTTGAGACAGCGGCAGACGAAGCTTATCCCTCACCTCATACTGGCTTGACTTGGAAGCAGTTTCCTTTCTCACATTTTTGATAACTACTGGGGAAGGACTGGGGAAGCGAGGGTGGGAATAAGGTGGTTAGTGTAACCAAAGGCATGGAGCACAGAGAGATGTTACTTTTGGCAACAGATCAAACTTACAGAAATGTTTGGAACAGTTTTTCCTTCTCATCACAGCAGGCAGGCAGAATGGAACAGTCAGGAAAAATGAGAGCAGTTTGGAGGGCAGAGAGAGTTCCTGACCTCTTGAGAGAAGCCTGAAGATGTGGAAGGTCCTCTCATTTATTCTAGCCGCCCCCCAGCTTCTTCCCAAAGAAAAGCCAGGCTGACTGAAGAGCTCTGTATACTTGAGTTGCTGTCTCCCTTGTAGGCTCCGCCTGAGGCAGGCTTCCCGAATCTTTCATGCAATCAGTGGAGTTTCTGGGTCCTCCACCTTGGCATGGCCACTCTGTTACTGACCGTTAGAGACCCCCACTTTGCCTTTCAGCTCCACACCCTAACTTCTCGGCCCGCCTCCCACCAGCAGCCACCCTGGACGTCTTGACCCCTGAGCATGCCCTTACTCTCCTGCCTGTGTCTTTTTGTTGGTCGATTCCCGATTTCTCATTCCATCCAACCGAATGCTACCTCCCCCAGTAGCCTCCTCCAGATCTCAACCTTGTGTGCTGACTGCTCTTTGACTAGTTCTCTCTAGATCAAGTCAGGATTGGCGTAACATTGGTGGCCAGGCTTTAGGGAAAGCTTAGACTCAAGAGTCTTAGAGTTGGCCAGGGAGATGGTTCAGCAGGTAAAGAGCCTGTAGTGCAAGCATGAGACCAGTTTTGATCCCCAGAACCCATGAAAAACCTGACAAGGCCTTGCAGCTTCCTGTAACCTTAGCACTCAGGAGGTAGAGGCAGGGGATCCCTGGAAACCCCAGGTTCAGAAAGACCTTGCCTGGGGCTGGTGAGACGTCTCAATGGGTAAACTTGCTTGCCTGAGTTTGATTCCATGGGACCCACATGGTAGGAGAGAACTCCCACAAACTGTCTCTAACCTGTACACATGTACACTGTGGTCCGTACATACATGAGTGTGTGCATATATGTGTATGTGCATACACATAAATAAATGTAATTATTTTTTTAAATAGACCTTGCCTCAATAAATGAAGCCGAGAGTAAGTGAGAAAGACAGCTGATGTCAGCTTTGGGCCTCCCCATACCTGCACCTTCACTTACCCATAATACCAGACACACATACACAAATAGGAATACACGTCTTCAAGTTGAAAGAGCCCTGAGAAATCAAGAGGCCCAAGCTACGTGAATAGATGGGGAAACTGAAGCCAAGGAAGAGGATTTGAGGAGCGTGACTTTGCATCGAGAGTTATAAGAAGTAGGGGTTTGGGATAAAGAGGAACTCGGCCTATGACAGGGTACAAAGTCTATCCACTGGCCTGGTGTAGATAAGGGGAGAGGAAGGGAGTACAGTTCTCCTTGCTGCAGAACTTTAAGGCCCAGGACTTTTCCTAGAAAGAGTAAACTTGGAGGCTGAGCACAGGAGGTAAGCTGAGAAGGCCGGTCCCCTCCTAGCTCTGTCTGTAACTGCCATCTCTCCCCAGCCTCATGCCATCACTGAGATTGTTTCTCACAGCGCCTCTGTCCCCCTTCCCCGTAGACCCTCCACTTTAATTACTGGGTGGGTGGCCAGGGGTTTGCTCACTCTGTGACTGAGCATCTAATCTTCCCAGATGAAGACACACAGGCTGACTGACCCAGCCTGTCTCTAATATCTAGCCCCCTGCCAGGGACACACCTGCCCCTCCCTGGGGCCTGGCTCAGAAACAGCCAGAAGATGGCCCCAGTTTGAACTCAGAATCTAGCCTGGTATGCCCTGCAGGACAAGATCCAAAATAAAAGTAAGAGCGTTAAGACACAGCGCTTGTCCCGCCCCCACCTCCTTCGAGCCCCTAAGAACCTCCCCTTATCTCCAGCTGTTAGGGCCAAACAGGTCCTAGGACCCAGAGGAGCCAGCCTGACATTTCCGCTCCTGAAGACACGCCCCCTCACCAGCCACCGCCACCGCCACCCCCACCCCGGACTTCGGGCGCTGAGCCTCGGACCCGGGGCCGAGGACGGTGACCAGCCTGCTTTCGGGCTGGGGTCGCTTCCAGAAAGTGCCCGGCGAGGACCAAGAAGAACTGAAAGTGGAAGCGAGACCGGGCCGCGAGGGGCGCGGGGACGCGGCGCTCACTCACGCGCTCCGCCTGGGTGGACAGCTCCGGGTCTCTGTCGGCGCCGCCACACCGCAGCGCGCTGGGTTGTCGTCCTGCGGGTGATCCCGCCGGGCCGGTCGCTGTGCCTGTCCGCCTGCCTGCCCCGGGCTGCGGCCGCCGTCCCGCCGCCCGTCCGCGAGGAGACGCCAGCTCCGCCCCGGGCTCAGCCACGCCGTAGCCACGGGGCGGGGAGGGGCGGGGAAAGGGACTCCCCCGTCCCAGGACACACACTCTTCACTCCAGCCTTTCCGGGAAGTGGGAAGTCCGACGGGGCTCGCAGCCTCCCCGAGGGCCAAGGACTTAACTGAGCAGCCGTCCCAAGGGATCGTCTGGTTCTTCCTTAAGGAGGCAGCCTCAGATTCCTAGGCTGTAGAATGGGAGCAAGTCCAGCTTCTCTCTGAAGCAGAAAGAAAAAGACTGGTTTGAATGGGTCCGTAGCCCTCCTGCGGCCATCTGTGCGTCATCTGTCTCTGAACTCAGTAGGCTTCGCTTTCGAGACTAGACAAGCAGCGTTAGGGTTAATCTTCATTGTTAGCTTCGCCGGCTTCAGAATTGCCAAGGAGACACATCTCTGGGGGTGTGACCGGCTGCCTCCTGCAACTGCTGCCCCAGTGTAGAGCCATACTTTCCCCACCATGCTGGTCTGCACTCTCCGAGTGTGAGCCGAAACAAAATGCTTCTCCTGAGTATTTAGTCACAGCATGAAAAGCAACTAACACAGGAGTCACCCGGGAGGAAGTGAATGGCGAACAGGTGTGACTGGGGAACCACTGGAGCCACAGGTGGTTTTATACCTTGGCACAGATGCTCCTTTGGGATTCCCTGGGCCTGGGCCTGCTTTCTCAACTGCATGAGAACACACTTAGATCCTCAAGAATTTTAGGTCAGAACTGAGGATCCATTCTTTGACCAAGGGTTATTTCTTTTCCAGCATAAAATTCTCTACTGTTTCGCCCCCAAATTTCCTATAAATAAACACCTATTGATGGGATCCCTATTTGCTCCTATTAGTCTGATATAATAATCAGTGCATTTTTTTTTTTTTTTTTGAGTGTGAGAGTGCGCTGAGATCAAAATGATGAATCAGTCTCTGATCTCAGGTGCTGAGAGGTTAGCAGCTGGGACACAACATATACAGGTAACAGGGTCAGAGCTTAGTCATTCGGAAGTGGGAATGAGAGAACAATGCATTGACGGTCAAACATTAGACAGAGCGGGGGTATATATCCACAGGAAACACGCAGAGCACCCTGAGTATTTTCAGCAGAGTTTAGCAGTGGCGCGGCATACAGGTGTAGTTCGTGGTGGGGAAGCCATGTAGAGACCGGACTGCCAATGAGGCAGCAAGGGCTGCAGATAGCTGCCAGCAACCGTAGGCTGAGGTGCACTGGGAATGGGAGATATGAGAAGGCCTAAGGTAGAGGCCATACCCAGCTCACAGCAATCAAGGGAAATCTACCAGCCAATAAGGGCCTCATTTCCCTCTGATTTTCCTCTCATCTCTGGCCAACTTCCCCATAACTGAGACCTACTAAAAGCCAAGGACAAGGGAACCTGTTGCCACAGCCCAGAGGTCAGCCCCTTGGACACAGAGCTGGGAGAAGGGTAGAAAGTTATCTGGAGGAACAGCGTTGGGTCGGGCATGACTTCACAGGGGAAATGACTTAGAAAGTGCTTGTGCTTTTCTTATCCTTCCGTTCTAAATATTTTACAAATGTCATTTATAATTTCCTCCCTCCAACTCTTGGATGATTTAGAAGTGGGTTTTTTAGTTTCTCAGCCTAGGAAGGTTTATGTTTTTCTTGTTCACTTCTCATTACATTGCCTTGTGGTCAGAGATCTTGGTCTATGAGATTCTTTGGAATTTGATACGACTTCCTCTGTGGCTTTGAACATGGTCATTTTCTGTGCCTCTGAGCTAGGTTTTATAGGAAAGGCAGGGTTTAGTGAAGAATGAAAAACACAGACTCGCACTCTGTGGGAAATGTAGGTGACCCATTCTGAAGGAATTTTTGAAGTTCCAGGCTCCTCGGCAGAGTCTTGGACGTCTTCAGGGCAGATGGTCGGAAGAATTGGGTTGGGGGCAGCACCTGGATAGTCCAGATTTCTTAGAGCCTGTACCGCTTCCTGCTGCTCTCGGTCTGGGCTGGAACGACTGTGTTCTTCCAGGAGGCCCTTCTGGGGCTGAGACGACCCAGACCATGCAATCAAGTTCCTGCTTCATGGTGCATTGACTGGGTGACCTTGGGTTGGTCTGAACCTCTCTAGTGGTATACTCAGTGAGTACATCCAGCACTCACTGGACACCTCTACAGGTAAGTCACTGCCCCCCCCAGTCTTAACTGTGTTAAGTGGCTCCAGAGGGCTCAAACAGGGCCCATCTCTTCAGGTTGGTGGGAGCCTCTAGGAGAGCATGTGATCTCTTCCATTGTACAGCCCAGGCACCTACCTCCAAGATGGCAGATTTATGTGACTGCATTGTGTGTTCAGGAGACCTGGACTCCTTACTCCCCTACCACACCCTTTGGTGTTCTGGGAAAACCCTTAGCCCCTTTTTGGGACTCAGTTTCCTTACTTGTACTACCAAAAAATCTTGTGGCACACCAAGTGTTCTTCAAGTGTCTTATCAGAACTGGCTCTCAGCTGCATCTCTCCAGGCCTTGTAAGCAGAGAAAGAGTGGCCACTTCCTGGGTACTCCCTGCCCCTCCCATGCCAGGAAAGACCCCCATCTCCTTCCTGAAATGAGCTACCACATCCCACTTCACTTTACCAAGCATCTGGCATCTGTTAGAGCCTTTTAGGGCCAACCCTCTGCTCAGTCACTGCAGTTTCTAAGTCAGCCTCTGCCCTTCCCAGGAGGCAGGATTGCACATCCTACCCTATTAGTGGCAGCCTGGCAATCAGAGGAATTGAGGTGAGGCTTCCTTTAGCTCGAAGAAGACAAAGTTCAGTGGAATATGACCAGAGAAGACAGGATTGACAAGGATATACATTAAGATTTAGTGTGACCTTGAACAAGGTACACATTCTTGCTGAGCCTATTTCCTCTTCTCTAAAATAGAAACACCATCTGCTCCTCTGAAGAGCTGTTAGGATTAAATGTGATAGCTCTTGCAAAGAGCAGAAGGTGATGGCCAGTATGTTTGAGGGGTGCTGCTTTCAAGGTGTTTGTGAAGAAGAACGGAACTTGTTCTGGGGCCCTGGGGGGGCAGTAGCAAAGGCTCAGGACAACATGAGAAGACACTGGCACATTAGAGCTGGCCAGTCATGGCACCTCCACGGTTGTGCTCCTTTTTGAGAGGGAGATGTGCAAGCAGAAGTGAACCAGCCCCTTGTGATATCCCATTCAGGGTCTTACTTCCTCTGGGAACTGCAGACTGCCATGTTCTTTGATCCCAAGTCCTCCTCCCTTCCAGCTCCTCATCCTTGAGCTGGAGACAGCTTTCACTTCTCCAGGTTTAGGGTCTTCTGTCTTGGGAAGATTGCTGTAGGTTTTTTTTTTTTTTTAAATAGGAGCCCAGTTTGCATAAATGGGGTAAATTCATAGTCCCCTGGTGTAATGAGTCCTGTCCTGCCAGTCAGCTCCCAAATAATGACATGGAGACTTATTAATTATGAAAGCTTGGCCTATAGCTTAGTCTTGTTCCTAACTAGTTCTTATAACTTAAATAAACCCATTACTATTTATCTATGTCCTGCCACGTGGTGTTACCTCTCTTCCATCTTGCACCTCCGGCTTCCTCTTTGTGTCTCCTGGCTTCCCCTGCACAACTAGATTCTCCTCCTCTTCCTTTCTCTCCCTGGAAATCCTGCCTATACCTTTTGCCTAGCTGTTGGCCATCTAGCATTTTATTACACCAATAACAGCAAAACATCTTCACACAGTGTATAAATATCCCACAACATTTCCCACTTTTGTCTAAATAAAAAGGAAATGTTTTTACTCTAACATAATAGAACTATAAACAATAAGAACAATTATCAGGTAAGAATTACATTTACAATGTCCAGTCCATTTGTATTCAGCAATTTTGGCAAAAATACTCTATTATCTATCTTATCTTGATAAATCTAAAGTTTTGTACCTAATTTACTTTCTACTTTAACTTGTACTACCATCCCAAAATTATCTTTTTAGATCTCAAAACATTTTTTTAGATAAACAACTTAAGCTTTATGTCTCTTAACCTTATATACTTTACACCTTTTTTGTGAGTTTCTTTTTTGAATTTGGTAACAAGGAAAACTGTAACTATAACTATCTAGTTTTCAACCCCATCAAAGACCTGAGGATATAATATTACCTGAATAGACAGGAAGTACAAAGCAGACAGACAACTTCTAAAGCTAGAAATTACAGAGACAGCTGGCTGCCTGGACAGTCACCCAAGGTTCTTTTGCAGCATTGGGGCATCCATCTTCAGCCTACAGGCTTAGAATATCTGACAGACATTTCTGTGAAGCAGGAATTTTGAAAGACTCTCCTACCTTATCTTGCCAGAGTTTGGCAGTCACCTTCTTTTGTGTCCTGCTTGAATCTGGCCAGCATACTGTCAGCAGTCAAGGCAAGGGCCGTTTCTTGCCCAGTGGCTAGTTTTGCCACAAAGCAAACTCCACATGGAGGTTGTTCAATGACCAATATCCCTTTTTCAGGTAGATTGGTGCTGCCAGGAACAGACATGTCTCATTGTCATGAAAAGTCTTATGTTATTAAAACATCTTCAATGCCATATTCTGTAGTGTTTGAAGACCATCTATCTATCTAAAATTTATCTGTTTAACCTTGAAAGCATACCTAACATGACTACAAATTTGATTGTTATAGATGACTAACTGCTAATGTGCATTTTAAAATTATGCTAAACAGTTTGTAATAATAGCTTTCAAAGACTAGAACTTTACATTACATTTTTAAATGAGCTGCATAGATACAATACCTTAAACAAGAGTAGAAACATATACAGTATAACAAAAATAACCTTAAATTCATATCAATATATAAAAATCCATACCAATGTAAAATATTTGAGACTAACAGTTGTTCAAAGTAGACTCGACAATCTACATAATTTCTATACTATATACCCCTTTTCCCTTTAGAAAGAGATCTCTGAATCTAATCTCCTTTGTTCAACTTTCTCCCTGACTATGACCAATAACAATTTGTAACTAATGCCCCTCTAAATAATGACAAACATCCATAATCCACTGCATGACCAAAAACCACCCACACCACCTCTTGGGAATGTGGGCATCGTGTTTTCTAGACTGCCTCTCATTGTCTGGGGGAGGTGATATCATCTTTAGAGGACCCTGAGAAAATTGAGATAATGGTCAAGTCCTGAGAGAGCTAGTTGTTGTTTTCTAGTCTTGGGTGTGATGGGAAAATGTAGGACTTATCTGAAGTCTGGCTGAAGTAGTCTGTGAGGCTGGATCATCTAGGCTATTTGTCTTGTCTTTATTGGTGTCTGGTCCTTTTGTTCCAAAATCACACAAACTTTTAAAGGTAACATATATATCTGTATTAACATAAGTATGGAATGTACAGTGTGCATGTCAGCTAAAGATAATTTTTTTGTTTTATGTTTGAGCAGGTAAAAGGCATCTGTCAACTTTACAAGTCTTTGGACTGCATAGCCAAACTGTAATATGAATCTCCATCCATGTTATATGAAAGGATGGCATGTAATAGTAAGTCATGAGGACTCTGTAGCCAACAAGATTTATCTTGTCTCATCCAGTCTCAGAGCTGATCCCATGCAGAGGGATCAGCATACACATCACCTGTCCTGTAGTCTTTCCTAGCCTCTCCCTCATGTCTGTAGCCAAGATCCTCAGGAGGTCTCCCCCAGTCAAATCTGATCTTGATTAACTTTGAAGGAATCCACAGCTTTTCATTTCCTGTGGAAACAAAAGCATAATCTCTCCCTCAATGCAACACATTTCCTGACTTCCATTTTGAAGCCAAGACATCCCTAAAGTATATAGGCTGGTTTAATTCAGCAATTCCTTCCATAATCCAATGTCTCTCAGCAGTTGCTGTTTGCTCATCAGCATTCACAGTTAACAAAGCACCATATAGGATCCAGATGCCCTGTATATTTCCCATCCTTATGTGGCTTATTATTTTTTTTTTACATTACTTTACTTTCTTTAAAGATTTGATTATTTTTAAATGTTTTTATGACTGTCTATGCCCATTTTTAAAAACTGTATCTGTTTAAAGGTTTTCTCAGTCTGGACCACTTTACTGTGAGCCTGCAGCCTTCTCTGACCGTGTGAGCCAAGCCTTAAACCTGTCATGTGCTCTGCACATAGTGCTGGCTGGCTCAAGCCCACAG